TGTGTGTGTGTGTGTGTGTGTGTGTGTGTGTGAGAGAGAGAGAGAGAGAGAGAGAGAGAGAGAGAGAGAGAGAGAGAGAGAGAGAGAGAGGTCTCCAACGCATGTCGAAGGTGCTCGAGGTGATCCTCCAAGGTCCGACTATAGACGAGAATGTCGTCCAAGTAGACCAACACAGACCGGTCCAACATCGCGAAGAAGTCGTTGGTCATCGCCGCTTGAAAAATCATGGGGGCATTGGTGAGGCCAAAAGGCATGACAACCCTTGCAAAATTCCCGTACGGCGTCTTAAAAGTGAATTTGAGGTGATCTTGCGGGCGTATGGAAATTTGATGATATCCCGACTTCAAATCCAACTTCGAGAAATACTTTGTGCCGACCAAACGTTCAAGAAGATCACCGATATGAGGAAGAGGCCCCACATTCTCGACGGATTGCGCGTTGAGCTTGCTATAGTCAATGCATAGGCGAAGATCCTTGTTCTTCTTCCTTACGAAGAGAACCGGCGCACTGTAAGGTGAGCTACTAGGGCGGATCCAACCCTTGTCCAACAAGTCATCGAGTTGCGTGTGGAGAACCACGAGCTCTTCCTCGCTCATGCGACAGATGCATCCTTTCAGCGGCACGACACCGACATCAAGAATTATCTCATGGGAGATCGGCCGATCCGGCAGCACACCAGTAGGAGACTCGAAGACGTTGGCGAACTCGTCAAGCAACCGCAACACGTGGGTGTTTGAAGACAAGTCCGTGGGTGAAGATTCGGTCGCCGCGACGGTCTGAAGAGAACATAGGGTGATCTTGTCAGTCCGCTCGTAAGCAGAAGTGACCCGAAAGGACTTGGCCGTCACAACTTGGCATCGGATCGAAGGGTGAGGAAGAGGGATGGTACACGACACCTCGGCCCCAAAGGCATCGCGAACGGTAAGCGTCTGCCGATGGAAGTTGACCGTGTGGTCCGCACTTGCGAGCCAAGGCGTCCCCAAAATAATGTTGAAGTCTGTGTCCAAGACGTCAAACGTAACCGGTTCGCATGCATGGGGTGTGAAATAAATTGGCACGGCTTCGTTGTAGCGATCAAGAAGTTGTTGTGTCCAACTGTCGGCCATCTTGACCAGAGTAGGATGTGACGTCCTTCGAACTTGTGCGCGAAGGCCGGCCCTTTGTATAAAGGACTGACTTAGGAAATTGTGAGTCGCGTCGGTATCCAGCAAAACGTTGCAGGACGCTTGCGCAACTTGGATGTGGATGTAAAGGAGCAATGCGTTGTCATCGTACCGCTGTGGTAGTAAATGCAAGGAGGTCCCTCACCGCAACTTCGTCATCCGTCAACTCGCGGGCCACCTTGGTAATATATGCAAGGAGGTCCCTCACCTCAACTTCGTCATCCGCCGTCGAAGTTGGTGGTGCATAGAAGGCTAAGTATGTGTGAAGATGGGCGCAGAGTGTTGCACATTGCGGTCTCGGTAAGCGGCCTGTGGAAGGGAGAGGAGCCATGCGAAATCCTTGGACGTCAACAGGTCCATGACCTCTACGTTGAACTCACGTGTCGAATCCCTTGAAGAACCACTTGAAGAGGAGAAATTGTCGTCGCTTTCAGACAGAGAAGAAACCGCACACACACCTTGCCCTTGGGCCTGAGAACCCAGCAATTGAACAAGTCGGGCACCATTGTCCTCTAAAGAATAAAAGAGAGGACTTTCGACTTCCGCATGTGCCTCGAAACTTAGGGAGGTCGCTCACGAAGCAACCGATTCCGAAGGCGTCGAGAGTGCATCCACATCACTCTCGGCGGTGCTCACTTACCCGGAAGGGACTTTCCCTTGGCCTTTGTAGGACAGATGACTGTTTCGTGTAGGTCGCCGTTGCACCATAAACAACACCGGTATCTCGAGTGGATCTTGTAGACGCCCTTCGAGAGACCGTAATGAAGCCGAGGGCCCGGGGTTTGAAGATGTTCTAGTCTTCGATTTGCCGCGTCCTCAACCTTTGGCGGGGTGGCCACCATCCCGAGCGGCTGCTAATCTTTCTCCCTTGTTGATGGAGCAGCCTCGTTTGAAGGATCAATTGGCGTTGTCGCTGCGACCACGACCACTTTCGACCGATGTTGATCTCTACCCTGGCCAGCAAAAGACGAATGACCAGCATTGCGGGACTTCGTGTTGGTCACAATTCTCTGTGAGGCCTTGTTGAAGAGTTCCTCACTTGTGGTGAAAGTCTCTGCGACTTGCGTCAATGTGTTCTGCAACGTCGGGCATGACCTCGTGATGAAGAAGTGCTTGATGCCCGAAAAGGTGAGCGGCAAGTCGGGCGTTGATGCCAAGTGTTGGTACTCGGTGATCCAGTCCGCGTTTGACAAGTTGTTCTGGTGGAACTTTTGGAGTTTCTCCATCGCCTAAAGCTCAGGCGGCTCCACTTGGAACCTCTTGTGCCATGCTGCCTTGAGATCCTTGCAACTGATCTTCGTGTGCAGCTCGGGACTGCACTTGTGCGTGGACATAATGTTATGCAGCCACGCTTGGCACGCGCCCCTCGACCGGTGATATAAATACGCGTGTCGGCTGGGGTCGCTGGTCTTGCAGATGTCCAGTATGAGTTCAAACTGGCGCCACCAAGGAATAGGGTCGGTCTTCATTTCATCGCCAAAGATCAGGAGGCCATCAAACTTTGGTATACTCTCGGGTGGCGACGAGGTATGGTGGCGACTATTGTTCCAATTTGCTGTACGAGTTGCTCCTCGCCGACCTCGAGTGTCCCTATGTCAACCTCCAAAACGTTGACCACTCGGCGAGGTTGGATGGGTCGGCGGGAGTGGCTGTGGGTCGTTGTTCCAACAATTGTACGGGGCTGGTCAATTGTGCGACCATCTTCTTGTGGTCATCGACTGCGTCGTCGAGGCAGTGGATGTCCTCCTGCTGTGCAATGTAGGTAGCAAAGAGGTCCGTGAAGCGGGAAAGCCTCCTGTTGCTGATTTCCTGGCTTTCTGCCTCCGTCTGCCATTCCCTGGCCAGCTCGAGTAGTTCTCTCTCCTCCTTGAATACCCTATCGCGTCGTAGTCTGCGTTCCTCATCGACAACCTTTGCTGCTGCTTCATTGTGCTTTCGGCGTTGTTCCTCCGCAAGCTGATGTTGTTGTTGTGCCTCCTCCTCTTGCTTTCTCCTTGCTGTGGTGGCCCCATCTGCCCTCTTCTTCCATTTAGCTAGTTGGTCCAACATGCGGGCCTCGTAGGCCTCCTCAATCTCTCCTTGCTTCCATTCCATGTCGCCCGTCTGTGAGCGGGTGACTGCTGGCATGCGCTGCTGGAACGGGTGGCAGAGGCTGACGTGGCACCAACTGCTACTAACGTGGCACTTATCGGCTATTGACGTGGCACGACTGTCGGTTGGCGTGGCCTGCTAACGTTGCAACTCATTAATGCCACAGTAGTGTGAAGCAGAAGACAGGTGGTAGGAGAGAGAAGAGTAGAAGAGAGATAGCAGCATACATGGAATGGGTGGGAGAGGGAAAAGTAGGGATGTACTAACATTTCCCCACCCCCATGGGATCACACTGATGCCCAGACAAGGAGCCACTAATCTATTTTGAAAAGTTCAAACTTAAATAATAATAATTTTTTAAGAAGTAAAAAATTTGAAATGGCAAGTTCGGTAGGTCTCCCAATCCCTAAATTCCCGAAATTGAAATAATAAAAAAACTATATCGAGTTTCAGACTGCAAATAATTAGAGAAACGAATAGAAAGAGTGGTTGAACTGCAAATCTTTTTTTCACAGCTTCAACTAATTTTGAATTTTCGGAATAATCCAGATGAGAGTATGCGCAACGAATTTCGATTTTGGGAGTAATATCCCGAAACTCAATTACACACAGAGATATTTAGAGAAAAAATTAAATTTTTGGAATATGTAAATAACAAAAAATTCCAAAATTTGAAAAATAAAAGGAAAACGAATTTTTAACTACTAGTTAATGCGTGATTCATAATTTATAATAACACGAATCAGCGCAAAAAGTAAATCCGAAAACATTTCGGACCTATCAAGCAACAAAATTTCAAAAAATAAATAAATGAAAATCGAAACTTTCAGTTGCTGCGCAATTTTGGAATTTGCACAACTGTCGAAAACGAATTTGCGCCAAAGCCAGGATTCCGAAGAAGCAATTTCCCCCCCCCGGAATTTGGCAATTAGGTTGAAAATCGCGAATGAGAAATAACCTAATTAATCCATCCATCCATCCATCAATCAATCAATCATGACCAATCAATCAATCAATCACTCAATCAATCAATCAATCAATATATCGATCGATCGACCACTTCGCGTGTGAGGTCAGAGTCCTTATTCACGCTCGGAGCTCCGATACCAACTCATACATGCCCAATTGGGCAATGTATATGGAGCCAAGGATCCGCAAAGTGATGAAAAGGGCTCGTGCAATGTCAGCAAAGCATCAACAAGCAATGTACATCTAGATACATTTGAAAATAACATATTGTAGCACAACGGAAGACTCAAAGATATGACCTGACTTGTCAGATACTGACGCGATATCCCATCATACACCACACATGTGAGAGAGGGAGGAGGGACTGCATACATGGAAGAAAGGTCCGTCCTTGCACATGCACATGAGGAAGGTATCACGGATGAGAGATGGGGGGAGAGGCGAGACAAAGATGGAGGTGACGGAGAAGACCAAGATCTAGATAGTGAAGTCCAAAAATAGTCTCCCTGCCGAATGTCCAATCGATGTCTGCCTCAAAAATGTCGAATCAGATTCTGGGCATCATGCTCGATGTAACCTCTGCTTGGGACGTCTCTCTCTCTCTGAAAGAAGAAGAAGAACAACAAGGAGGAGGAAGGAGGGAGAAGAGATGGAGGGCGAGGCGAAGAGGAAGAAGAAGATGTCGTCCTCCTCGCTTTCTGACGTGCAGGTAATTGCTGCCATGTACCAGCTGTCATCGTGGTCCCTGTGCAGGTCGCCGACGTGGAGCGTGGCTATGGCTCCCATGTAAGTACCGCCGATGCAGGTATGGCCTCCACCCCTCTGCCTACCTACACCTCTACCTCTACCTTTAGTGGAGCGCTGATGTCGCAGTGCTGCTTCAGCAGCGTGTCGCCCAAGAAGTGAGCTACTCGAACTGTGTGTGTGTCCAACTGTGGCCCAACTATCAGTAGCGCTGGACCGACTGGTCTGCCTCTGTGTGTGTGTCCAAAACGTGGGGGCCTACAGGGTCTGGGTCCCTACCAAACGTCCACACCCTGTACCTGGACAAGGGAGACCTGCCTCCGGGCGAACCTGGCCCAAGCCGCGACCTTGGAAACTGCAGGTCCGAAACGATACCTGAACGGATGAAAATAGGACAGCAAGCAAACAAACAAATAAATAAATAAATGAATGTTGCCTCGAATCGAATCCTGCGTCCGAAGGGTCGGTCGTGGGCCTCCAAGGCGCGCGTCCGAAGGGTGTGCGGCCTGGGGGCTCCCAAAACGGGGCCCGTGTGCAGGCTCAGCATGTAACATCCCACCTGCGCCCGCTTGCACCCGGGCGCTCCCTCAGGCTGCCTCTCAACGCTCATGCAAGCTGCGTTGCCGAGTACAATGCAAGAATGATCTGCTAGCTGCCAGGCTCTTTCCTATATGGAAAGTGGCCTGGTCGGCGGGCTGTCTGGACTAGGAGGCTCGTGTGCCGAGTAGCTTGACAATGGGCCAAAGTGCCTGTGCGAAGCCCCTATTCACACAGTGGCTTGGGACCGTAACAGTTAGGAGAGCCTAACTGTTAGACGTGGCATGTGTTGTTCCCTGCGACGTGATAGGCCGGAAGGCATGCTTCCACATAGAGGCGGGATGAGCCTCGAAGGCTCTGGAAGACAGGGTTGATCTCAAGCAGGGCCCATGTAACAAAACGGCACGAGGTAACTATGTGGCACCCACGAGGGCCTCACAATGGCAAAATTTAGGCCTCATCAAGATCTGCAGGCCCGCCTTCACTTAGGGCGGGCACAAGGCTTGCGGAAAAGCCCATCGTAAGGGCCTACCGAGGACAAAGATCCTCACACATACATGTGTGCGCCATTCGCCACAAGTGTAGGTTAACTGTGGCATACTTAGTCCCACACGGGCCTTGCAGGGCCCGACAGGGAGGATTAGGGGTTAGTAGGGGTTAGGGTCCGTTGTAGACAGGCGTTGTTTCGGCCCGTAGCAGGGCCCGAAGGGTCAACAGGCCAGATTAGGCCCGTTATCGCTCCAGTTTAGGACCAGTACCAGAGTAGAGGCCGATGTTAGGCCCCCTATGTTGGTTCAGCAACAGGTTTGCAGCAGGACCTCGCTACAGGCCCTGGCCCAGTCTAGGTTGTGGCGCCATTTTGCCGCCAGACATTTTTGGAGAGTGTGAGTTTGGGTGTGAGCACTTTTCAGGCTGGACTCACCTCAGACGGACGCTATATACAGCGGGCTGACCAGTGAGTCCGTAGGTAGTGCTCGTAGTCTTTAGTAGTCAAAGCGCTGGGCGTCGTAGCACTTGAGTAGAGTGCGGAGGCGCTGTTGGAGGTTGACGGCATCAGCTCGGCAGGAGTAGGGAGTAATGTGATGTTGGGCAGAGGACAATGGACTTACCTGAGGACTTACCTGCGACGCCATCGCTCCAGCTTCGTCTTCAGCACATCCGTACCTACATCAAGGTGCCACCTTCCTGTAGGTTAGTACCGGGGTTATAGCAGAGACAGAGAGAGAGAGAGAGAGAGAGAGAGAGAGAGAGAGAGAGAGAGAGAGAGAGAGACAGACAGAGAGAGAGAAATTCCTCCTCTCTTTTTTGGTTCTCCTCCTGCCCTTCATTGCTCCTCCTTCCCCCCTCCCAGAGCCCTGTTCCTTCTTCTTCTTCTGCTAGGATATGAGAGAGAGGGGGGGGGGGAGAGAGAGAGAGAGAGAGAGAGAGAGAGAGAGAGAGACGTTGTGGCTATGGTGACTTCTGGGCTTCGCCCGTTACAGTGATATTGCGGTTTCGACATTGTTGAGCAGTGACATTGGGGACATTGGGGATATACTGGAGACTGGGTTCATCGGGCTATGGTGGCTGATATTTCCCCTCCTCTTCTCCTTTGTCTCTCCCCCCTTCCTTCATTTGTGGATGTTGTCCCAGACTCAATGCTTCTTCCATGTATGCAACACTGAGTCTTTCCTCACCGGCATGATGGTGATGAGTTGCGGTCAGTCTTGATTGAGTCAGTCCTGGTATTTTCGTCTTTCGGTGTGCTCTCTTGCGTAATCTCTGAGATTTCGTTTCCTTGGACTTGTTCACATTATTAGTGTGTGACAGTTGGGTATCGGAGCGAACTTTTAGAGAAAGTTCTTACTCAAAGTCACCATCTCGATTGAATTGATTGATTGATTAACTTATAAATTGATTAATTGATTGATTAAATCTTTGATTAATTGAGTTATGTTGTTGTTGCATAAAGGAAACTATTGAACTTCCGTAAATCTTGGAATTCTGTGATTTTCGAGATTTCGCAAATTTCGCGAATTTCGCTATTTTCGAAAATTTGCGATTTTTGCAAATTTCAGGCACTCTCGAATTCCGCAAATTTTGGACATCCACGAACAGAAATCCGCAAAATCTGCAAATCCAATTAGGGTTGTAGGAGTGGTTAGATCGCTAATTAGGGTTAGTAGGTAGGAAGGAATCAGTTGGTAGTAATTGGCGAATTTCCCAAATTATTACTGACAGCCTGATCTTTCGCACCTCTACCCAATTCGATTAATTGCTATACCCCTAACCTTCCTTGCAACAACCTGAAACTTCCCCGACGGATCAGCAAGGTAAGCACTAACGAGCTTCCCTGAATACCGTTTCACTCCCGCAGTCCTAAATTCGAGGTCCTCCGAGAAGAATTCAGTCCAAGGCAGGACCTTTACCTTTCTGTTCTCTTTCGTAGGCTCTGACTATATCGGGAGCTGTCTCTARAAGTTCTGATCTTGTAAACCAGCKGTCATCCTCCGGTTCCTGATATGCAAAGSGRACCTTRTACTGTTTYTGAGGACRACCTCGACCTCCTGTTCTAAACACATCCTCCTCTACAATGCCCTCTATGTCATAGCTCCCATCCATATCCGGAGGGATCATGGATCTTCTAGAAGGGAACTGTTGGCTTGTAACACATGGCAACAACTTTGAAGCATGGAACACAGGATATGTGTGGAGGTGTACTGGGATCTCTATAGTGTATGATGGCCCATCCTCTCCGCCCTTGACTTCTAGAACCGGCCACGGTCCTCTATATGCAGGCAGTAACTTCTGCGAGATGTTTTCTTCAGGCTCGAACTCCTTTGCCT